AAACTCAAGGCATTCTTGGTAAGTAATAAAACAAATAAGTTTACTTACTACATCTATTCGACATTTCTATTAATCAGCGAATAGGGCATGAAAAAAATTGTTAACAGTGTTCAATAAAACAATTGAAGAAATAGATAATATTCAATTTTTTTACCATTTATAGTAATAAAAATTAAGAATTCTTAATTTACCGTAAATATTATGGCTTATCTGAGGGACAACCTAAAACAGCAACTTTTTTCTACGCTTGTCAAAACTATCACATTAATAAGCATTGGATTTTGACGTCTCTTAAAGCCAATTTTAACAACCTACCTTAGTTTAATTTTAAATTTAACTAAAAAAAAAGATAGTTTACCAACTCTATAGAAAATTAAGATAAAACTACCGAAAATCACTTACAGTTTGAAAAGAAACAGAACGAATATTAATAAGTAGAACGGGAATTGATGTATCATTAGAAGCGAACATTCAGTCCGAAAAAGAACGGTTGCGAAATATATTGCAAATAATATTAGCTTGCATGAGATATTTAATTATACAAAATCTTCCAGTGGCGATGTTGAAAAACTAGCACTTCAAGACGGTACAAATGTAGGAAACCTATTATCTTTACTTAGACTTGTAGCTCAGTTTGATCCGCTACTAGCAAAGTGTCTTAAACATGCCACAGAAACTCCAAAAACTATCTCATATTTGTCACCACAGATTCAAAATGAATTCATTCATCTTCTGGGATCTACAGTTCGAAATCAACTAATAAACGACATCAAAAGAAAAAAATATTATGGACTTTTGTTAAATTCAATTCCCGATATCTCTTATCGAGAACAAATGTCCCAAGTCGTTAGGTATGTAGATATTGATTTTATCAATAAAAAAGTTTCCATCAAAGAATCTTTTTTGGATTTTATTGAAATACATGCTAAAGATGCAGCCTCGATCGAAAATACAATTTTGGAGAAATTAAATTCCGATGCAATTTCATTAACAAACTGCAGATCACAATGCTACCATAATGCTGCCGTGATGGCGTTCAACAAAAAATAATGGAAAAAAATCATAAAGCATTATTTGAAAATTGTGATAACCATTCATTGAATTTAGTATGAGTTACTGCAGCCAACCAAGATAAAATAGTTGTGACATGTTTTGGAATAATTGAAAACATATATCTCTTTTTCTCACTTTCAACGTTACGATGGGAATTATTAAAAATAATTGAAACAAAAACTGTCAAACATGAATCTGAAACACGATGGACCGCCAGAATGCAAGCGGTTATCGTTATCGTCGATGGGGTAGAATATAGTAGAACTATTAGAAAAATTAGCAGAGGACACTACCACTACAAGTAGCACCAAAAATGAAACTACAATTCTGTTGCAAAATATACTAACTTTTAGTTTCATAACTTTAGTTCATTTCTGGTATGAAATCTTAAGGAGGATTGATCGTGTGCAGCTCAGATTACGAGATCCTAGAATGAATTTTAGAGAAGCGTTCCATGATCTTGAATCATTAGCGACTGAACTAGCCGAAATTCGAGACAAGCTCTGTGAAGAGGCAATAGAAAAGGCGAAGTCTCTTTGTGAAAAATGAGATATTGATACAATAATACGTGTAAGAAGACGCCGCAAAATGACCGGAGAATTGGCCAGAGATGTTGATCTTTCCGCAGAAAGTGAAATTTCTAGCGTTATGAAAAACGTTCTTGATCGTCTCCAACAAGAAATATGCACACGATTAAGTGACCTTAATTTCAAATTTGGATTTCTACTAGACGTTGAAAATTTATTAAACAAGGATAATGTTGATAACCTTGAAAAAAAAGTGTAAAAATTTGGGTGAATTTTATGATACAGATTTCAATGGAATAGAGCTCGTTATCGAAATATGTGACTGCAAAATGTTACTCCGCAGTAGAAAAAAATTGAACCTAAAACTCCATTAGAATTTCTTACTTTTATAATCTCGTATGGAGAAGATGTTTTTCCAAACCTGAGAGTGGCACTTCAAATTCTCCCGACTATCTCAGTATCAACTGCTAGCTGCGAACGATCATTCAGCTATTTAAAATTAATTTTGACATATCTACGATCAACGATGGGACAAGATTGCCTAAGTGAACTAGCATTTTTAAGTGTGGAAAGAGAAAAATTTGAAATGATCAACTTTGATGATATTATTGATAAATTTGCTTAAAATTTATACATAGTAATTAGTTTTATTAATGTATTATAATCATATTATTAAATATATGTATCTCCTTAGAGATAATAAATATTTACTTTTTTATTGTTTTAAAACTGCGTGTTTTTAAAATATTTCTTTATAAATATGTAAAATAAATAATAGGTATCTTTTGAACAAATTCTAGATGATCATATACGTTTCAAAATCTAGTCTTGTTTCCTCAACAAATTTAAAACCTAGCTTATAGCTTGAGCCTATGACTTCATTTATTTTTCTTTATTTATTTATAAATTTGCGAGTACATTTTACATATAATATTATATGGTTTTCGATTGGGGAGAGGGGGCGCTGAAAAGGTATTGTGCCCCGGGCGCGAGTTAAGCTCGCTACGCCACTGCTTATCATACTGCCATCCTCCCGTTGGTTTCAAAATTGTGAAGCCTTAAAAAGTCATTTACTTTGGTGAGATAAAACGATCGATTGGTCAAATTGATCTCCAAAGGCAGTTTTAGGTAAGACCGAAATTCGGTTGTTTTAGTGTTAACATTAATGACACACTAAGCCAGGGGTGTCAAACTCGCGGTTCATCGCCGCCGCAAAAATGTTCGAGCCGCATGCGGCCCGAGATGAACATTTTTGCGGCCCTGTCAAAATGTCCGACGCAAAGTAAAAATAAAATAGAAATGTTAATTAGAATAGAAACTAGCATATAAAATTATAATATACTTTATTTATAAACTATACGGATCATTTTAAATTGTACGAGTGAAAATGTAAAATTCAAATTATCTTGCGGCACTTGCCATTCCAGGGAAACTGCATCGTATCAAAAATACGCAGAAAAAATTTCTAATCTTAGAACAGAATTTGAAACAAGTTTTAAAGATTTTAATTCTTTGGAAGACAAATTTTGTTTGTTTTCTTCGATTTTCTCAATAAATATAGACTCAGTACCCAGTAATATGCAAATGGAAGTGATTGAGATTCAGTGCGACTCAAATTTGAAGGCAAAATTCATTAAAGTGGGTGTGCCTGAATTTTACAAATATTTACCTGCTAAGTTTGAAAATATACTCGAAAATTCGCATATGAAATTTTTTCCATGTTTGTAAGTACTTATCAGTGCGAGCAATTATTTTCTGTTATGAATGAAAATAAATCTCCGGTCCTAAACCGTATTAATAACGCTCACGCTAGGTCAATTTTTAAAGTAGTCTCGGCCAATAAAATTTCTCCGGAAATAGGAAAGATAGTAGCAGAGAAGAGATGTCAAATATCAAACAATTATTTTACTTTATATGTGTTTATTACAATGTACTATTGAAAATAAAAATATTTGTTTCTAGGAACACTGATGTTTTTTTTCTTCTTTTTTTTTGCGGCCCACCTAAAGTTAAGCATTGTTTATTTGGCCCAAGTTAGCTTTTGAGTTTGACACCCCTGCACTAAGCTAACAACTGGTAGTTCCGAATCGCTTTACTTCATTCATGACTTTCATAAATAAGTACACTTTTTTATATCACGAACTACTACTTTTTTTATATCTTAAACTTTTGTATCACAAACTACTACAGAACAGTACCGAATGTTGTCTATTTGCTTGTTGATATCTTTATGGATCTATATTCTACCCGGATGTTACAATTTTTCAAAGGGAATCTCAAGAACTTCAAAACGAAGTTCTTGAAACGAAGTGACACGAAGAATAAAGAAATACTGAAAGTATTAATTGCATGACTTTATTCTGACACAACTTATCACTAAAAGTTTGATTACTTGAGCTGATCTAGGTCTTTACGACTTTCATGGCTTTATAAGATAATGCGATATAAATTGGAGTAATGTTCTCCTTCTGAAGAGTACACTTTACTAATTAAGTCTTTCGCTTTTATTTGGATAATTAAAGAAATTGATTTCCTCTGAAATAATATTTGTTTTACAAATTGTGAAGTGTAAATTTAAAGGTAAAAATTCGTAATAAGACTTCCAAATTATATTTACACCTAAGCTCAAAAAAACGCGCCATCTTTTATAATCATTGTACTTGTAGTGTTTCATTATAACTTGCGCTGCATAACATTCAATACGTAAATTAAATCCTTTTAACTGAAGACATAAAAATTTAAAGATAACACTCAAATCACAACTTTGTAAAATTTAAAATATGCGGAAAATTTTCATAAATGGTAAAAATACTCTTAAATTTCAATATAAATTTCAATAATAAAACTTTTTAGAATATCAAGCCGGATCACTCATTGCCTCGTTAACTTAACGTAAGCGTAGGAATACACCTGGAATTTTCACTATATTGTTCCGGTTTCAGAATCTTTTTACGGTTTACACTCAGTTCCAAATCCATCATCAAATTTTTGCTATCACTTTTTACTTACACAGGTATGCCAACAACTCCACTTTATACAAAAATTTTATGAAGTGTTAGATACTTAAAAACTGAAATTGCAGAACTTTGCTTGATTTTGCCGACATTTTGAAAAGCTTACGAAGAGATGACTGGAATAAAGTGGTGTTATATAGGAGGGATTTCAGAATTATTCGTAAGTCCATTGGTATCACGTCATTTAAAAAAGAATCCTTTTCTTTTTTAAATGACGTAAGCAAAATAACTTCTTTGAATTTAGTAAACCAAGAATGACACATTAAAACACAAATTTGTTATAACTAGAAAGAAAAAAAAAATCTTTCAGAGCGGAACTAATTGGTTTCTCTGGTTATTTTTGGTCTAGCAATAACATCAATAAAGAATAATTTATTCTAAAATTTAGCAATTTTTATTTTTGCAGGTTGTCCTTTGTTAACATCAAGTGGATTGTCCTCATTGGTCCAGTTGCGAGAACTGAGGGAGTTGGAACTCACTAACTGCGCTGGAGCTTCGGAAGAATTATTCGAATACCTGAGACAACATCTGCCCCTGTGTCTCGTCATCGAATAATGATACCAAATTTTCCTACACACTAAGTAAATGAAACCAAATCTCATTAAGCAATACAGAGACTTGATCACATAGGCTCGCAGCAAATTGCGAAGATCTCTGAAGTCGAAATTCCAGCACATCAAAAAAAAAAACCTAAAGAAAACCCTTTCTAAATCACCAATTCGCAGATGCAATTTGGTTGGTTTTTTTATTTTATTGAGTGGATCTTGTAGTTTTGTGGCAACACACCTATTTTGGTTAACGATAAATTTAGAACGATATTCTCCCAGGAAAGTAAAGAATCCTTTTTCAAGACGTATCACTTACCCTGATGTATAGTTGTCATTAAATGATAGCTGGAAATGACCAGGAGAAAATCAATCTAAAGTTTTATACAGGTCATTAACTTTTGTTCTTTCGTGACCTCAGAGGCGATTGGATTTTCGCCAAAAGGGGAAAATTATCACGTGGGCAAATGATAGAGGAAAAAGTTTTCCCTAACATCAGTACCAAAGTACATGTAAAAATCATCTTTCGATTTTGAACTTCTTGAAAACATGGAGTCGTATCGTAAACATATTCCATTTCAGCAAAATATATTCACCGAGGCTTATTCCAACACTTATAATTATTTCATCAAGTGTAAAGTATAAGCCTTATGTTTTTAAATTGTTTGAGCTAAATAAAGGCAAGAACATAAAACTTTCTTGTTGTTTATTTCTACTTTCAAAATTACTAGGGGTCCCGCCTCTTTCTCGCTGCTCCCGCAAACCCCCGAAACTGATTTCGTTGTTCATGCGTGCTCATTTGACACTTGTTAAGTTTACTTTAACATCGCATGCATGCTGATACTCTTTTTTAAATGACGTTCTAAAAATTTACTTCATATACATCTTTTGAAACTTTTGATATACAATATTCATACAAACATTTAATTCAATTTATGTACTTCTTCCGTCTTAAATTAGTTGCTGCGTTTAGGTCAAAAATTTTGTTTAAAACTAGTTGCTATGTTTTTAAGTAGTCATAAATAAATACCGATGTAGTTTATGAGATCAACACCATTAAACTTACATTACTAATGAATTATCCTTTCATTAGCTAGAAAATAGTTTTTTTTTTGTGATTACTGGTGGAAAATGTGGTGTGTTTTAAGAGAGTGCGAACTCGGGATTTTTTAAAACTAATTTTGGTATTGATTTAAGGAGGGAATGATTGGTAAATAAATGTTGTATAGTACCCTGAAATCTTTGAAAAATGCTCAAACAAAATCATAAACTCATCAGTATCAATAATCAGTACAAAAGTATTCGAATGTAGCAACTAATTTGGGACAGAGGGAGTATTACAATACGATTTTATGTATACAAGTATATAAATTTCAGCTTTTGAAAACAAATTCACAATTCTTACATAAAATTTATAAGACCTTAATTCTATCATAAACTCACAAATGAAATGAAAACCAAGGAAAAAGATAAGAAATTGGAAACAAAGCATAGCTGGACGATTTTTGTTGGTAAGAGCATCTCTCACCCTCGATTATTATAAAGTTAAGCATAAAATACAGTCAAACCCCGCTATAGTGAACACGGTTTATAGTGAACTCCCGAATATAGTGAACGAAATGTTCGGTCCCGTGCCTTGCTATACACGTATAATGTTATTTTTTGTGGATATAGTGAACCAAAAAAGAGAGGAAGTTGGACATAATGAACTTTTTTCTGTCTTCGACTGATTTTTCTTCTTCATTTTTTTGTAATAATTTTGAAATTTCTACTTCAAAATAAATACATATACGGATTTTTAAAACCATCTATAGAGGGGAATGTGGCTACAATAATTTTTTCTTATTTGCTTCTTTTATCTCACTTTTTCATCCCTAAATAAAGCAAGTAGATGTTTCCAACCCAGTCAGATGATCCACCTGTAAGGTGTCAGTGGGATCAATATGCATTTTCTGTCAGAGGAAATGAGTAATTATTCATTATTGGCCAAAAGGTTAGACACTAAAATGTGTTAATAAGACCTTCATTTCAACTCCCTTTTGCTGTGAGTTCAATTAAAAAAGCGTGCAGACAAGTGTCTCAAATTTAACTATGGCGAGCATTAAACGTAACACGTTCTCCATTGATGATAAATTGGGCATAATCAGAAAAATTAAAAATCAATGCAATCAAGCTGATATTTGCAGGGAATAAAAAACTATCCAAATCTGCAGTTTGTAACATATGGAAAAATAGGCAATTAATTATTTCAGCTCATGAAAAAAATTTAGATGGCAGAAAAAAGTTGAGAAAAGTAGATTACAAGGATGTTAAAGAAGCATTACTGATGTGATACACCATTCGTAGAAGCAGCAATCTTCCAGTATCTGGACAAATGTCGATGAATTTGTTAGGCGATTTTATGTGACTACTTTTATGTGCTCGAATGGCAGGACAGGTTTAAAAAGCGGACAATACATAACAATACAAGCGGACAATAACTTAAATTTTGGAAAAAATATCTGAGAGTCGGGAAGTGTTTCCATATCTGATGTTGAGGATTGCTCATCAGCTAAAGATTGATATTTTTTTTGTACGCAAGACGAAGAGTAATGAAAAATAGCACATTTTTCGCTACTACATAATATTTTTCAGTCATTTATTTGAATAATGTGTAATAAAAGGGAGGAGTTTGTGAACCATAAGTTAAATTGCCTGCGTAACGGATATAGTGAACTCCCGGTTATAGTGAACCGAAATTTCGATCCCTTGAATGTTCACTATAGCGGGGTTTGACTATATCTCTAAATTATTAAATTGTTGTTGAGTCTACTTTAATTGATAAGTATAATTGAAACAAAAATACTGAATATTTTGTCTAGGACATTTTTGTCGCTCTGTAAGAGAAGATTTTGATTTTCCTACCCACACTTTAAGAATTCCATAATATTTTCATATGCATAATTCAAATATCGTTTAAAAAAAGCCCTCAAAAGTATAGATTTTGCTGTGCAAATTGATGAAATTAATTTTTAAAATGTCCCTAGCAGTGCTAACCGTTTAAATTTTAGTTTAATTTTTAGAACATGTCTCTTTCTTCAAATATATGAAGACTGGTGACTCAATTCTTTAATTTTTCAAAACATTCTCACTCACCAAAATATTTTGATACATATTAAAATATACATTTGGTCCTGAAAGTATGTGAAAGTTTTATTTGCGAAAAGACATTGGTTTTTAAATGAATATCCAATTAATTTAATCACATAAATATAAACACTTTTTTCGTGAAAAAAAGAAGTAATACTGTAAGTGAAAGTTAAAAAAAAAATTCTAAAAAATATTTATTCAAAATAAAAATTGTATGGCACCACATTACTAAATGACTCTTGTATGAAATGGTTCTCGTTTCTCGGAGAAATTTTAAACTGAAGTATCAATGAACTATCCCTAAAACGTTAAATTTTTTAATCACATTTTAAGTAAGAAATTTGAAATTCAATGGTTATTTCTTGAAAAAAGTTTCGGGGTGGAATTGTATAAAAACAATTTCTAAAATATCCCTAAAAGCACTAAAATTTTAGTCGTGATGAATTCATGTATACGCGACCATTAAATATAGGGTATGATGCACCATCTTACTGAATGACCCTTGCAAAAAAAACTTTCACTTTCTTTTTCTTTTTTTAAAAGAAAAAAATTCTGCGTTAATTCAGCAATTTAATTTCACGAATATGCCCAACAATTTTAGTTACATTTTCAGGAGAAAATTTGCAATTCGATTGCCATTTCAAAAAAAAATTAAATCCTAAATATAGAGTTTACTATACAGTTTTACTGAATGACTCTTGTAGAAAATAAGTTTATGCTTAGAAACAATATAAATTTCTCAATGAAAATTTCAATAAATAATTCTTCCAAAAACGTCTTAGTTTTAGTCACATTTTCATGAAAAACTAAAAATTCGACAAGTGTTTCAAGAAAAATTAAATCCTAAATTCGAGATGCATGGCACCAGCACCACTTAACTGGATTGCACTTGAAGAAAATATTACGTTTAAAAAAAAATGAAATTAAAAAAAAGGTTCTAAACTACCCTTAAATTACAATTTTAGCTACAATTTCAAGGACAACTTGAAATTCGATTTCTATTTCTAGAAAAAACTAAATCTTAAATTTAGGGTGTATGATACTTCACTGTTTGACATGTGTAGAAAACGTTCACGTAAAAAAATATCGACAGATTTCGCAGTGAATATAAGCTTAAAGAATTTCCCTTAAAATCCTACAATTTTAGTCTCTTTTACGTGTAATTAAATTGCTTTCTTGTAAAAAAAAAATTGAATCCTACATTTGAAATTCGACTGTCATTTCTAGAAAAAATAAATCCTAAATTTAAGGAGTACGACACCACTTTACCGGAGAACTCTTATAGAAAATATTTAGGTGTAAAAATTACAGGTTTCGCTGCGCCATTTTGTAAAATTAATTTTTAAACTGTATCTTAAACACTATAATTACTGTAAAATTTTTGTGAACAAACCTGAAATTCGACTGTTATTTCTAAAACAATTAAATTCTAATTACAGAATGTATGCCACCATTTTGCTTAATGGAATTCTCCCTGTGATTTGCCAAAATAATTTAAATGGTAGCAAATTTGTAACGTGAAATGTTGCATAAAACTTACATAAACAATATTTCTTAAACTCAAATATCTAACATCAACAAGATGAAAAAAAAAGTGCTTGCTAAATCAGAGAAATTTTTATTTACTTTGGTGAACAGCTTACAAACACTTGAATTTATTTGAACATGGTAGAAAAAATACCTACATAAAAATTTTTTTTAAAGAAAACAGTATGGTTAAGCTGAGTAATTTTGTGAAATTAATTTTTGAACTACCCTTTACAGCGTTATAATTTTAGTCACAACACAATCTGCGTACTTAATAAATAGTAATACTTTTTTTTTTTAAATTTAATTTTTTTTATAATTTAGGTGATAGCCAAACTAACGCTTTACCATTTTTATTATAATTTAAGTGGTGGTCAAACTGGCGCTTTACCATTTTTTTTTAAATAATTAAAGTGATAGCCAAACTCGCACTTTCGTCCTGGCTTCATAATTTTATTTTTAAAAAGTATAGATTCCCATCACATATAAACAATTTGAAACTAAAAATTCAAAATTAGCAATTTATCTGGTAGATTTTTATTTTATTTGTTTTACATAGCTCCCCGTCATGTGGGTCACCTTTTGCATGTACGAAAGTTCAGACACAAAATATATTTATTTCACACCTTTAATATTCAATCACCCGCAAAAAGCAACATGTTCAATCACTTATCTTTCTTCATAAATTAATAATGAAACATAATTTAGCGTAAAACTAAAAGTAATGCAGAAACATAACGTAAATCCTATATTTTTTTAAAAATTAAAAGATGTTTTTCATAAAATTGCGTTTTATAAATCTACATTTTAAAATTTGATTATAATCGATAGAATGATTGAAGTATGGAATTCGTGTGTAATATTTTTATGAGTGGAAAATGATGTTAGCGAAAATAAAAATAATAAAGGAATTCAAAACTTTTTGCGTTGCACTACCTTCTAAGCCTGCGTTATTGATTTTTTTTTATTTTTAAAGTGATGTGGTTAAAAATAGTGATTAGATAATATAATTTTATTTTATTGAACAAAAAAGAAAGG